CCCCCCCCCACACACACAAACTACATATACTATAATAATGTTTTATTATAATATGATTATTGCTTTGTATTAGTAATAATATTAGTAGGTTTTATTATTGGAAATATTACTCTGATTTTGAGATGATGATAATGAATGTTAATTTTGCCTAAAATGCTGAGCTAGATTTGCCAAATGGATAAAATAAAATAAAGAAAGATATGTGAAAAGTTATTGCATACCGCTTATGAAAAAAACAGGAAGAAAAAAAAAACCCCAGATACAAAATAGCAAAAAAGTGACCTCATATTTAGTATACATTTAATTTAACCATTTAATTATTTTTTGTATAAAAAAAAATAAACGTCGATTATTGCAGCGCATGTTATATACGTGTGTACTGTACACTGTCAGAGATATATCTGTAAAATGACAGAAAAAGTGCTGGCAGTACTTTATCCATTAATTTTACAGACATTTCTGTTAACTATAAAACACAACGCAATGCAGTATAAAATTAAAAATGCGGTAAAACACCTGAAAATGAATATCTGTGCCCTATGTTTTTGTAGAGTGTAGATCTGACATAATGGTCCACCTCTAATCTGAACTGATAGGAATGAACGCCTCTCAATGGTTCGAGCACAGATCCACCACAATTCAGCCCCTCAGAAGCCCAAGCAAGCACTCACCTCCTCCATGGCTCTGGCACAGGTAGGGGAAGCGCCAGACGTTGCCCAAACCCACACAGAATCCCACGCAGGTCAGCATGTACTGGGCTTTGTTGTCCCACTTGGGTCTGTCTCCAGCCTCCTCCACCTCCAGCCGTTCCAGCTCATCATGGCTCAGGATCCTGTCCTCCAGGCCTGGGTTCAGCAGCTTCAGCTTCATGATCTCCTGGGCTCCCTGCGGTGGGTATCTGTGGGGGAATCTCTGATGGTGTCGACAGCAGGGAGCTGTGGGAGATAAGGACCGTCTGAGTGGATGCAGGTAGTATATGTAGTGAACTTTGGCATCGTCCCACCAGGCCAGTGAGTCACGGAGTGTCTTGAAGATGGGGAAAATGTCCTGTCAGCTGAATGTGAAAAGAAGGGCTGTGACTGAGACTCTGTGCATGGCAATAATTAATGTCTTATCAGAGATTGAGAATCTGATTACATGTACATGTCTCTGCGTACCCATTCTTGTGGTTAATAACTAAAGATAATGATTTTTACAGCACTTTGGAGTAAGTCAAAGATCCTTAACAGTCCCATCAGCACACAAAGAGTAGAAAAAAGTCACTTGACAGATAATATATTTATTCAGTGCGCTGAGTCATTAAACGCAGTTCACTTGATAAGGGATGATGTTTTTATGACTATTTCCTGTGATTCATGTGTGAAAACTGATTATTTTATCAAAAAGCTTGCAATTTGTGATCATCAGCAACTTTCAAATCACGTTTTTTCTTATTCAGGTATATAGAAATCAAGGAGGGATGACAACTTCTGTTTCCTAAGTTTGTGGTGAGCTTGGTTAAAGAAAATAGAAATGGCAAAATGTTTTTACTATTTAATAGCACAAATTTTCCTGAGCCGACCAGACCCCCACATTTCACATTCAGAGAGGATATTCCGCTCATCAATCAGATCGCTGGAGTCCACAGACTTCTGAAAGCCCCACACAAGGTATGACAGACACCCCTAAAGCAGACATAGTTGTATCCACTCTCTGTAAATTACTGTGTTTATTAGAGGTATTTACATCTATATCTGATGCAGTGGCACAACTATTTTGTTATTGCAGTAATTCTGGAGGGCATCATGCAGTTTTATGGCAAGCCTTTTTAACATGTATTGCCTAAAACTTAGAACTAGCATTTATATTTATGTCATTAGTTCTTATTTTCTGTTTACTATTAAATGCTTGAATAGTGACTAGTATGTTAATGTTTCATTGGTTGTACACTTATAGTGTACTTACTTAAGGAAGTACTGGTAATATAAGGTACATTAGGGCCTTTCGCACCGCGGGAACCTTTTCATAGTACCAGAACTAATTGTGGAACTACCCACTTTTTGGCATTTAGTTCCACCGGAATTGGGTGCAATTTTAGTACTGGACTGCCTTTTTCGAGAACCAAATTAGCTCCTACTCCGGAGCAGGGTCTAACCAGCACAACTGGTACTAATCGTGACGTAAGTAGACATTGACTGGCCAAACGCGTACGAAAATGCCCTCACCCACCATGATTTAAAACGCTGTGTAAACATACTGTAAACATTGTGCGCGTACGAAAACACCCTCACCCGCCATGATTTAAAACGCCGCGTAAACATACTGTATACATTGTGTCAACTTATTTCGCAAGTATGGAGAACAGCGATAGATGGACGGACGCTGAAGTGCAGGCACTTGTAGCAAATGTAGCACTGCCAGTTGTCGTTGGAGATTCTTAGTCCTCCTTTCTGTTCTTTCAATCGCTTTACGTATACGTCGACATTCCATGTCCATTATTGTGAAACCCGCGAGACAACAAAAACACCGCTCCGATCACAGCGTCCTCCATCCTCCTGTTGTTAATGTTGTTCTTTGTTTCTGTTGTTGAACGCCGCGCACAAATGACGACGCTGTCGACCGGCTTACGTCACTTCTTAGTACACACTGTTGGTGCGAATGCAACCCTTTAAATGGTACTGGGAAATAGTTCGCGCAAAATCGTCCCAGTACTTTAGTACTGTACATTTAGTTCTGGAACTAAAGCGGTGTGAAAGGCCCTATTGGTTAAGCTTAGGTTTAGAGTTAGTACCTAGTTATTACCCAGTTATTGTAATTACTATAAATAGTACATGTATATGTGTAACACGGCTGTAAAATAAAGTGCTACAGTGTCATTAGATACTAATACTTATTCATTAGTTATCTGTTTCAGTTTTCTAATTGAATAGACACTGGTATATGTTTGACAGAAGTTCTATACCAGTCTAGTAAATTAGTTTAATTTAAAGTAGCTATTCTGACTAATAATTTGTAAACAACAATTCTAACTAATTAAAAAAAAGGGAAATGTTTCTAATAGCAGTTTGGATAGAAAGAATTGTCTAATAAATAGGTACTAGTCTATTAGTGTCAATAAATAAGTAATCTGTTTAATAAGCACTTGGAATGGACACATGTAACTATTCAAATAGTTACACATAACTAAAAATACTATTACTGGTTACACGTAAAACTGGTATTTGAAGTCTGAAGTAAATAGTTGATTTTTAAACCACAGATTCAGTTGACAAAAAATTACCAAAAACTTAAGTATAGTTAATTCTCGTCACTACTGGGATAGTGACTAGCAACAAAAGAATAAGTACTAGTGACTAATTGCTGTTGGCAACCAGTACTAATGAATAATCACTAGTGAACCTGAAAAATATACTGGTCACTTTTGGAATAACTAGTACACTGTAAAAAGTGGTAACCTGCAATGTAATTTTAAAGAGCCATTTGTGCTTGATTTAACCCTTAAAATTAGTCTTGGTTGGTATATGAATGTATTTAGGTTAGTTCAGTGATTTAAAATAATTTTGACTTGACTAAAACCAGATGATGACATTTTAAGGTTACAATTTTCAGTATAATTAGAAATATGCACAAGTAACAGTGCAAAAGAATTAATGTTAAATTGGCTTGCCATAGCATCTATGCAGTGCAAATGCACTGTTAGAGAGAAGTGATATGATGTCAGGATGCTTCAGTGCATCGTGGGCTGCACTGCACCAAAGTCTGCACTGTCCTGTGCACACAGGAGGTTGTTTGTTATTGTCAGTGCTTCTAAAGCACACCTTTTCAGACTCAAATATTTAGCTAATGCTGTTCTATTTAAATACAGCCAATAACAAAACTATTTTAGCGGCATTGTTAATTAGCAATCAGTTTTCCGATATCATAATAGGAATGACAGGTAACTGGTGTTGATAGTGTAGATATTCACATCCTGTCTCTTCTTGCAGCCTGTAATAAACCTCACCTCTAAATTACGCAGCTCTCCTTCATTACAGGCATGACCCAAGACAACTGAGGTTCTTCTCCAACTGTGTAAGATATAATTGTTGTCTTAAACTTGGTTAATTTCCACCACATAAACAGTGTTATCCTTTAAGCAGGTTTTAGGAGTGCTGTTATTGTGGTCTTAGAGGAATGCACAGCAGCTGAGTGCCATACTTGGGTCGACTGAATGCTTGAACATGCCATGTTCACATACTCAGGATTCTACAGCTGTCATTGGGACTGTCAGTGATGACCGTCCACATAAAAGGGTCCTCCAAGGGGCCAAACTGCCCTGTTTGGTGTATAGCTTATTCATTGTTGTTTGTATAGGAACATTACTGTTCTCTTGCGACTCAGAGCTAGTTTCCAAACAGGTGAATGTGTTACCATTAGTTGGTTTGCGATTGTTCGCTAGGTAAAAGTTAACGTGACTCACCCACTACCGGTCATCGATGGAACTTTTAGTGCATCACAGCTGCTTCATTACGAGTGGATCATTACTGTGATTTGAAGTACTGACCTTTCCAAAACAAACATGCATGGAAGTATTTCTGCGACTCAGTCCCCATCATTAAGATGGTTCCTTAAATCACTCGAATGAGTGATGAAACATTTTCAGCAGATGGATAAATAAGTCCAGATGCTCATTAGTTATTTGATTTTTGTTTTAGAATTAGAATTTTGTACGACTTTATACTCTATGACCCTAATGACATATTTTCTGTGAAACAGATCTGTTAACACTGTAGTCCAAAAATGGTTCAAAATTTTTCAAGAATGATATAATTTGATCTTTCTAAGCTCAATTAAAGGATTCTGAACAAAACATCTTAAGTTATATAAAAAGTTTATTATTCTAATATATAGGGGTCAATGACAAAAAGGGGGTTTCCACTGTCAAAACAATAAAAAATTAATACAGCTTTAAAATGTTATTTTTTTCTCTTTCATAGGTTAGAATGCGTCCTGTTTAATTGCTTTATTTTGTATTTTCTGAGCAAAAAATAATGTCTATCATACATTTTTACCACGATTTACAGGAAACGCCCACTAAAGTGTCATTCCATGCAACCAAAAAATCTTGTCAGGCATATTTAGAACCAGAATAATCAGATGTCATTAAAAGACTTCATTTAAAGATGAAATAAAAGTCATTTTAAATCTTTACCACTATCCTTCATACACTAGGTTTTACCCATTTAAGGCAGTTTTTAATCATTTAAAATATAAGAAAATTTTAGTATTATCACTTTTTCTTTTATATATTGTAATAAGTACAAGTCAAAATAAGTATGTTGTTTCATTTTTAGATAAATATATCTGTTATGCTGCATGATGATGGAACATTATTTCACCCATATTTTGACATTTTCCATGACTTTCTATGTATAAAAAATTACTTTTGTGGACACCAAAATGGAACGTCTCGTCTTTGAGCCATGTACGCACGTATATGCCAATCATCAGAGTTTGAGAGAAATGATGTATGAAATACTTAAGGTGCATTTTCATGGACAAATTCCATTCATTTTAATAGGAAAGACTGTGGGCGAAAGATTTTTTTGCAGTCAGATTTTGTAACAGGTTCAAGTTGGTCACATGGTTTTGCCGCATTCACCAACAGAAAGTAGCTTGATATGAAAGTCACTTCTGTGTAAAATGTGCTTAATTTATTCGTTCATTTATGTCTCTGAACTACAGATCTAAACATGCATAATCAAAATTGGAGTTGATAGCTGTATTTTCAAATGACTTTCACGCAAACATGTCCTATCATGTAAGATCTGGTTCACTTCTGAAGGCACCAGATCTGAAGGATTCTTCCAGTAAACAGCATCCATTGGAACTTGTGAGCACCATTATAAATCCTTTATTATGATTTCTGAGTTGCTTTTATCCAGCTTGGGATGAATCCTCAAGGGCATCATTTCTCCAGTGCATCAGGAGGTCCCAGCAAAGCTTTCGACTTCCTCCACACAATTCTTAGTTTAAAACAATCCATTGTTGGCAGCTTAGCAACATGAGATATGATTCAAATTCTCTTTGAGCCAACAGTTTGTTTTTCCCAATTTCCCAATGAAGCAGTCAGTGTAAGGAACCACAGAGATAATGGGAGTGTCAGTGATGTAAAGAGCTGTATATGGTTACCATTGAAACAGAGAGAGAGAGAAAGAGAGGAAAGGGGATGTGATGAGCTGGCATGTTATTTAACATCAGCCTGCAAATGAGCCAGTTGGATTCGTTCAGTTGAACCCAGTCCATCTTTGTCTTGATTGTTATATTCATTTACAGCAAGACTAACAGATGTGACATGCTTTATTATGTGTCCAGGGTGTCATACAAGGGTGTCGTAACTTTTATGTCGTTAATCAAAAAGTGCATTAGTAGAGTATATTAATATTGTCAAACAATTCCATCAGGAGTTTGGAACTTGGTTCTAAAATGCCTGGGACCTATTTGTCTGTTCATACTTGAATAAAATGGAGAGGAATTCTAATATTTATATGTAAGATACACAGACATGTTTTAGCAGCGTTATACATTGTTTATCCAGGATGCAGGGGTTAGTGAAATTGATATTGGCTGAGAAACATGAACCATATGGTGTGACACTGGCGTTGGTTTTGATTAGTTAGAGTCACTTGGG